CCTTCTCAATGCAAATAATCTCACCCAATCCAATTCTCTTAAACTGTATAACCTTTTCAAGACGATAATGAAACGTGCATACATATAATGCTTTTTTGGTTAATAACAGTACTTTTTCCTCATACGATTTACTTCGCCTAATATGTATAATTAAGTAGTTTTTATCCAGCAGTAAGTAAACACATATCGTACGCTCAAAAACAATGAAATAACAATTATACGGGATCTTTGCAAGGAAAATGACCCTCCGAGGTTATGTTGATTTTGTGAATAGAAATTAAATTTGCCGACCATCTAGTCATCCGATTTGAATGATCTTTTTTTTAATTTTGTAGAGCTTATGTAGCTCCACAAAATAAAAACAGTTCATTCAAATGAAACTAGATGGTGGAAATTTTATTTTTATTCACAAAATCAACATAGCCTCAGAAGGTCATTTCTTAGCAAAGATCCCATATAAGATTACATAAATGTATCACCTACAGTGTGCTTGGTTCACTTGGTGACAAAAAAGTCCACCCGTCAACTCTTCCTTCGTTATCAACAATAACAATTGAACTGCTAATGTCAACTATAAAGTCAAATAAATCAAGTTAAAACCTCAACAATATTATTTTAGGCAATAGCATTTAATAATTACATTCAAATTTAAGGAACTTACTGGCATTGGCTCTAATTTTTGCCCACCTTTCAGCATCACCAGGTTGTGATGCTTCAAACTTTTGTTGCAATTCTTGAAATACATCCAATGAATGATTTCCAAGAAGATAATCGATTGTTGCCTACAAGGAAATATTTATATGCAACAAAGTAGTAGATATTATCATAATAGAAATAATCATAATAATAATACATATATACATATATTTACCTGTCTAAAGAAATCTTTAAATGTATTTTGAAACATTCTAGCCAATGAATTTGACGCATCATTGACAACTCCTTGAAGATTTCGTTTTCCTATCATGGAAGCAATCAATCATAGTCAATTATAAGGATTTCTAAAATCTCAGAATACATTTCAAAAACAAATCAGTAAGAAATTGCCTCACCAGTTCTATATAAATTGTGCAATTAATTTAGCCAAATAAATACAAAAAAAAAGGGGGAGAAAGCCAAATACCTTGTAAAGTCACCTTTCAAAGCACTGGTTCCCGCATATTCTCTACTTATAGAATCACCGTTATTTGCCCAAACTAAGTGCAGTGTTGAAGACAATATGTACATCAAAAACAGTGTTGCCCAACTCTTTAAAAGTAATAATATTAATAATATATAGCGCTCACCATCATTAAAAATATTTTCAAATTCTTCATAATGTGATATACCACCATCTATGAATTCTGAGACACCAAGTCTAAGAAGTTGTAGGTTCAGAACTTCTCGTGCTAATGCGCTCTGTATAAAAATAATAATAAAGATAAAATAATTAAACGTATTATAAATTAAAATTATTAAAATTGGACCTTAAAGAAAGTACTTACCTGTACAACATTTGTCCTATCCAAACAATCCATACAATTCTAATCATCAAGTAAGATGAAATTCACTATATCTAATTCTCAAAACGAAATAATAATAATCATGCGATGATAACAAACCGTGCGAAATATTCCCACTTGCTTACAATGAACATCATTATTGCCAACTTGCCAGAAATAACTATAAATAAATAGGTTTCAAAATTAATATCTGTTAATAAATTAATAACCGATAATAATACAAGGTGACGAAAAATCTGATTACCCCATAGAATGAAAATTTCTAGCAAGTGTAGACACCAGCATGGAAATGTTTTCATATTTCATTCCTCTACATTCTTTATGAAAATCAAACTCGACATACCTATCCAATAATAAATGTTTTAGTGCAAATGGCATTTGACAATTAATCCTAGTACAAATAACAATCAATACAAACTCAATATTTTTATTTCCTAAATTTTGAATGGCTTCGCGAAAAGCGGTACCAATAATTGCTTCTCTTCCATGGGACTCAACCAGGTTTATGCAATTAGTGTGTCCATATGCATTTAATAGAATATCGAAATGCTTTGCGAATGCTTCAGCATTTTCATCCGCAGATCTTTCAAGAGTTGGTTTCGGTTTTAGGCCATATGGAGATTGAGACCAAAATAATGGAACTATATATAAACAATTTTTTTTATTATCAGAGGATTCTGACAAGAAGAAGTAATACTAAACTTATAATTTAATATCATATATAATTACCTGAACCACGGACTTGTAAAAATGAGACATCATGATTTGAATCATCAATCTATAAGTAGTATTATAATTTACATTTTACATGAATATCGCCCATTCACAACGGTACATCAAGTTTATTCGTAATAAAGCAAACTATTCATTACCTTAATTGAAAGAATTTGTTCAGTTTCAACAAAATTTGCTACAGCTCCTTGTTCATTGACACCTCGGCGTTGATATCTCAGTCCTTGAAAATATCTGATAATTAAGAATAAAAACTGGATTTATTATAAAGCAGATTTAAGAATAGTCAAACCTGGTCTTTCTCGACTTCTTCGAGAAATAATTATAAAATCAAATACTCGATCTTCAATCTCACAATGCTCTGACTGAACATAACCTTGCATTACAGGTAATATCCAAGCATGTAGCTAACAATCCAACAATTCATTTTTATGCATAAATATATAAATTATTTTTACGTCCTAATGTTATTATTTACAACAATTATTACCTCGAGTTCTATAAACCTTTTAAGCATATGTTCATTCCACCAAAATCTCTTATTAATTTGTTTCCATAGTGGCTGATCCTTTAGTTGACCTCGTTCATACTTCTGCTGCAGAGAGGTCGTAATATCTATTTTATCGAAATTTAATGTAGTGTCATATCATAGATATCTATTTAAAAACAATCTAAATATTTACCAAGATCATAAGAATAGAAAAATGCATCCGAACGAAACAATGACGCAATTTCTCTCGCGATCCTTAAATCCATAGCCTATGAACAATTACATTTTGTACTCTGAATAATGGCCTAAAATAATCAAATAATATTCGAAGCGAAAATAATAAACTCACTTTCTTTTCAATTGGATCCTTAACATTAAGAGTATTTGGGCTTCTAACATCATTAGCGAAACCTTCCCAAACGACAGTAACCTTCTTTGCCGCATTTGATAAACCGGTAGCTATCGACGGCTTACCAGTAGGTGGACCCTTTGCTGAATCCTCATTTGAGTTCACATTCACGTATGTTTCGTTGACTGATGTTATTGTCTCCCATTCTGTATCTCTATCATAATCTTCTGAGTCTGATCCATTGGAATATAATGATTGAGGTCTTCTCCGCCCGAAATCTGACCACGCAGTCCTCATTTTTGAAACAAACGCTGAAAGCGGTTGCCGTTTTGTTTGTGATTCTGCTGGTGGTGTAACTTCAATAGATGGGGACATTAAAGTAGGTGATGACGATAGATCAGCAATTTGGTCAGTAGTTTGGTCTGCCGTTTGAGGGTCTACGATAGTCTCTTCAATCACATTAGAAATGTATCGTTGATGCGTCCCAGTCGTGCCACTACCATCATAAGCACTTCCTTGATCATCGTCATCCACAGGCCATGACTTTAAATCAAGATTGTCGTGGTGAATAGCAACATTTAAGCTTTTGATAAAATAATAATACAACTTACGTATCTTTCCAGAATTCTACAAGCACGATCAAAATCCAAAGGCAAAATGATAATGTTTTTCACTATATAAACACTTTTACCCTGAATTTGGCCGACATGTTTTCGATCCGTGATCATAACGAGGTTAGTTGCTTAACACGCGAATACGAAATGAAATTAATAAATATTCACCACACTTGTGTAAAATATTGTAAATTTTTGTTTTATATACCTGTTAACAATTTTAGGAATCCTATAACCCCATACACTTCATAACACCTTGCGTCCTGTGATGCTTCGTAACCATCTAATCAAATTAATAAAATCGTACACAACACATTTTTCATTTTCAAATATAATTTCGGTATTCGATCTGAACTAATCCCATTCCTCAAAAGGCAACTTCTATCAATAGAACTTATTTACTGGTCGAATACCTTTCCTTTCAATTTCTCCGCTTTCCAAATTGATTACTAAGTAATCATCGCTGGCGATCAAAACAAAACATTTTCTGTCTACACACAGTGTAATTTTCTTATGCAACGGAGGTGGTGGTGGCGGTTGCGGCTTTGGAGCTTGTAAACTGGGAAATAATACTTTATTAACAAACATTTTTTTCATAAACTAATTCGACGAATCGTTTAACGAGGGTTAATTTCATATCGATACATAATATATTGATTTTTGTGTCACCTAGGACGTAAAATTTTAAGATTTCTGTTCATGGAAGGACCTTATCTGATTGGTTGATGTAAATCAATTGCCAGGGTAACTTATTTTTCATATAACCAGAATAAGGTTAGAACAGGAGGGACCGTCCCGAGTATGCCCCGAGTTTGCAGATCGTTACACAAGCGATTCAATTGATTTAAAGTTTTT